GTGGTGGAAGAACAAAGGCCAGAGTGCTCCTTAGAGGTAAGGATGGCAAGACTTCATCTCACATCCTCTGGACATACTGTCAGGAGAGGCCAGTCCCTGGAGACGGACATCATGCTTGAGAAAGTGGAGAGGCAGCCAAAAAGAAGGCTCTCAACGAGTTGGGTTGACACAGTGGCTGCAGCAGGGAGCTCAGGCATAGGACTGTGAAGTGCATGGTTCTGCTGTGCCTAAGGTCCCTGTGGGTTGGAGCTGACTCGATGGCACCTAACAACAGCTCCTATAACTGATGTGTGATCTGCCACCATTTACAAATCTGTGACAGTTTCCTCTTGATGCCCTTTGGGGCTCATGCTAACAATCTCCCTCATCCGGATAATGTGTCTATCTTTGTCTTGGCTTTGTCCCGCTTAAGACTTAATTAGTATTCTCCTTAAACTATATTTGAGATTGGGGTCTCGTCTGTACCCTAAAACACACAATAGAGCAAAAAGAAAAATGTAGTTCTTAGGGTCTGGGATCTGAACTGAATCACCCTGATTAGATCAGAATTTCAGTGATATTTGAACTTGAAGTAACCATTTAAAAATACATATCAGAGAACCCACAGTGGTGCAGTGGCTTACATAATGAGTCAATCAACACAAGTTTTTTTTAAGACATATCTTTTTATACATACACATGTTTTTATCCCCACACACATACACATTTGTGACGGTATATGTGAATGAGTATGGATGGCCCATCTTTATCCTCCCTCCCTCCCTCCCTCCCTTCCTTCCTTCCTTCCTTCCAAATATCCGTTTATTGCGCACCTACTTCCTGGTGCTGGCTGTGCTCTATGTTGGGATAGAATTCAGGTAGCTGCATTTTCCAGCATCTTTATCAGAAGAGACAAACACAGACACATGTCTAAAATCCAGGGAGTCACATCCCACCACAGAGGAAGTACCTCTGCAGTGGAAGGGGAGTCTCACTTGGGAGGGGTGAGCAAGATGCAGCTGTGTGTGTGAGGTCTTACCCACCCTCCTGCCCCTATTCCCTGAGAGCCTATTTGTGCATGTTCCTTCAAGTTCTTGGACTGTTCAAAAGCAGAGTACCATTTGAGCACCATTCCTTCTACAGAGGTCTGTTTTAGGACCAAGTAGATGGCTTGACTACCCCCTGTCACCTGGCTGGCACTCAAGGGTTGCCCAATGTTTGGTTGGCAAAGGTACTTGGCCTGTTTTCTTGGCTGTATTTACCTGCCAGGGTCAGCATGCTCGTTGCCTGCTCCTGACAGCTACTCTGTGGCGGTGCCCCTCACCCGTCAGGGCCTGCACAGGGGTCCATGCCCAGCAAGAACCTGCACATGTTCCTAGCATCTGCATTGTCCAGCTTGGGCCCTAGTGCGGTAGTCTCTCCTCCGCTTTGCTTCCTTCGTGTTACTGCTTCCTTCACAGTTTTAATCAGAAACACATGGATAGACACTTAGAACTGATACTCATAGCCTGGCTCATGTGGTAAGTGGCCAATTTGTTATTCCTTCCAGTTAGGAAATGTCTTAAGCAGTTGACCTTAAGCCTCTCATATGAGAACTCAAACCCAATGAACATGCAAAGTCCCGTTAAGTCCATTAAACGGCATCTCAAGGCACTGAAGGTCTCAGCCTGGTTTGAATCCTGCCTCTACTTAGTAACTGTTACTTTGAGTGAATTCCTAGCCCCTCTGTGCTCCATTATAAGAACTCTGGTGGCACAGTGGTTACCAGTTGGACTGTTAACTGCAAGGTCAGCAGTTTGAAACCACCTGCCACTTCTTGGGAAAACAATGAGGCTTTCTACTTCCATGAAGTGTTAGTCTTGGAACTGCACAGGGGCAGTTGTGCTCTGTCCTGTTGGGTCATTATGAGTGGGAATCAATGGGAATAATTATCAGTGGGAATCAATCAATGGAAGCGAGTTTTGTTGTTGCTGAGTTTTTTGGTTTTTTTGTGTGGGGTGTGTGTGTGTGTGTGTGTGTTGGTGTGCCCCATTCATAAAAATGGGCTTATTAGATAATAAAGGGACCTATTGCTTTAGGGTATTTGGAGAAATATTTAAATGAGTAATCACACAAATCATTGCTCTGACCCACAATAAGTGTTCTCAAAGTGTGAGCTGTTAGGATTTTGAGGTGACTGCTCATTCTAAGGCACTTGGCAGGGCTGGCTCTGCTGGCAACTTTTGTACCCTGAACGCCCCCTTCCCCCTCACATGACATGAAGCACTCATTATGTTAAGTTATGTATTTAGTATTTCTCCCCTGACTCTGACCTTTTTCGAGGGCAGAGGTTATGTTTATCATCTGTTCAATTCAGCAAACATTGACCGAGGACTGAGTGTGCCAGGCATTGCTGGGTATAGCAAGAAGTGAATGCCAGCATGGTCTCTTGTTTGTCCCAGAGGGCCTCAGAGGATGTCTGTCTCAGGAACGCAGGGTGAAGGGATTCAAGAACATTCATATAAACTTGAGAAACCCTGGTGGTGTGGGTTACACCACTCTGAGTTGATAATCACATGCCAGCAATTCCAACCCACCAGCTTCTCCCCAGGAGAAAGGTGATGCTTTCTTCTCCTATAGAGATGTACAGTTTTGGAAACCCAGAGGGGCAGCTCTACTCTGAGTTTGCTATGAGTCAGAATTGAACTTTTCTGAATAGAGAGTCACATTTAGGGGAACCGATCACATTGATCTACATATAACCCCCTCCCAGGGGGTGGACAACAAAAAAGTGGGTGAAGGGAGACATCAGTCAGTGTAAGATATGAAAAAAATAATTTATAAATTATCAAGGGTTCATGAGGGAGGGAGGGAGGGTGGGGAGGGGGAATGAGCTGATACCAAGGGCTCAAGTAGAAAGGAAATGTTTTGAAAATGGTGATGGAAATATATACACAAATGTGCTTGACACAATGGATGGATGTATGGATTGTGATAAGAGCTGTATAAGCCCCCAATAAAATGATTAAAAAAAAAAAGGACAGTGACCACAATTTTTAGTAGCTGAGAAAAAAAATCAAATTTAATCTTGCTCTTTTCCCCTCACTCCTTTGACCTGTGACCAAGTTCATACCAGGAAAGGTGGGTTTTATTTGAAGTTCTGACAGATCAGGTGGTTCACCATCTCTTATTGAAGTCTTTCCTGAGAGGAAATGGGCCGAGGTTAGAACACCTGATTTAGCAGTCGGAAACTCGGCAGTTCCTCATTTGCACAGTACCAGAGTGGACGCTGCCTTTGAGCACTTTCTAGAAGCTTAAGACATCAGCATCAGTGGTACTGTGAGCACCTTCTCCCTGAAGTATCATTTGATGGTCTCTCCGTGGCTCAGTTTTGGAGGTGAGAGTTGTTGGCACTAAGGAAGGATGGCTGGTCAACATTACCTGGATTCCCAGCACAGCAGGGCCCGTGTCTGGAGATATTCTCAGAAGGGGCGTAATAATGAGAATGTCTGTTTAATTTTCCTAATGGGACAAACTGGAATTTTGAACAGAACATGCTGTCCTGAATCCAGCACTGGATGGTTCTCATCCCTTGGCCGCGCACACCTCAAGGCCACAGCAGTTAGGAACCAAGTTTGATTCCTAAGCTCGTATCTCTGAAATGGAGATGCAGCGAACGATCACGATGAACTGCCCTTCTTTGTGGCTGGCAATTCTTCTTGCCATAAGTATCATCTGAATATAAATGATGATTAATGGGAAGTCGAAAAGACATCCTTAATGAGACAGTAAAGTGCCTGATACCTTAAAGAAGAACCTGTAAAGGGTGCTGTCCATTGGCTCTTAAACATGGTGTCCAAGGCTCCTTGGCAGAATTTTCTCTTCCCTACAGTTTATAGCATATTAAATTGATGGCACTTGGCAGTGATTCCCCAACCACACACACACACACACACACACACACACACAGATATACACACGACACCCACATACACAAAAGATTATTCATGTTCTTGCACAGTTCCTTCATTTGCACTATATATGTTCTCTTATATGAATATATCATAAATCACTTACTTCTATTGATATTGTGTTATTTTCAGTTATTTTGTTGTTTTATCAATGCACGATGAATATGTATTCCCAAATGATTCCTTTGCATACTCTAATTTAAAACATATTGGCTATAATGCCCATTAAAAATGAATGAAGCAATCGTTTGCTGGCTTGCTATAAATAACCCGTGGGACACCCAGGTGGAGGCACTTGACTGAAACTTCTGCCTATGTGGACTAGTTACCAGACTCCTAACTAAGGAGAACCACTGTCACGGAGCAGACATGGCATCCATCGATATCATTAACATCTTTTTTTTTTTGGTCAAAACCTTTTTATTGGGAGATCCTATCATTCCATAGTTCAACCACACCAAGCAGTGTTGTGCAATGGCTACCACAATCAGTTTCACAACACTCTCTTTCTCCTTGAACTCCTTGATATCATCTCCCCTGTACCCTCCCCCTCCCCACCATTAACCTCGGTTCAGTCTGTGTGATTTTTGGAAAAGCAGTTAGAAAAGACACAATATACATCCTTTTTGCTGCTCTCAAGGTGGAAAGATTTTAAGGCACACAGCAATGTTAACATAAGGTTGGGGGAATGATTGTGACCAGGAAATGCTTTCTTAACAAGTCCACCTGAATAAGATTGTGGGAGTTGGAAGTAACTGCAGGGAGGGTCTTTTTCTAGTCTTGAAAATTCTCCAAAACAAAGAGGCAGAAGTTGCTGGTTCCTCCCCTAGTCCTTCCCGGTTGCTAATTTCGGGAAACACTTTGGCAGGTGCATGGGGATGTGATGTTGCCAGGGCACTTCGGGGATTGTAAAAGAGCACCAGGGGAAACACCAGTGTGAAGCAAGAGCTCAACTCCTATCAGGGTTTTTTTTTTTTTTCTATGATCTTGTTCATAGAACATACCAGTAACCGTAAAAGGTCAAAGTTGTGTAGACACAGGAATTAGGAAATCCAGAAGGGGTGGGTGAGATGCAGGAGGCATAAAAGGACCAGGAGGGGCCCTCACAGCACTGCTCTTCCAGAGGCAGACAGACCAAAGATGAGGTGAGTCCCCAGTTTGGCCTCTCCCCCTGGTCCCCATCCGCTTGGATTTGTGCTCTGTGTACAACTTTTATTTCTATGACGGGTCAGGTATGGGGAAGGCCCTGAAAAGAGATGCAGAAAACGAACAGAGCAAGTTGACTAAATTTCTATGAATTAGAAGGCTTAATGGTGACATCCTGTCCTTTTCTGTGCCTAAGAAAGAGACTGTTCTCAGACAGACTGTTGCTTTCCTGGGGGTGGGGGGGTACTTACTTCTTTTCCAAAACTCCAGACCTACTGCTGTCAAGTAGATTGCAACTCCTAGTGACACTGTAGGATATAGAACTGCTTCCAAGGCTGGACTCTATGTAGAAGCTGACTGCCACTTCTTTCTCTTGTGGAATAATAGCTGATGGATTCAAACCACCGACTTTCAGGTTAGCTGCTGGATGCTTAACCCATGGTGCCACTGGGCTCCTTTACTTCCTTAGGAGCAACTTTGTTTCCTTGAGATTCTGAGAAGTGTTCACCTTTGCAAGGAGATGCCACCATCTCCCATGGCATTTTCTATAGCTCTATTATTAGCAGAGTTACAAAACCGTATTATGAGAAAGATGAATAATAACATCTTTGAGGCTCTAAGACATGCAGTTTTTCTCAAAATGAAAATGTACATTTTTTCAATGTTGAAATATCTAGACGGAGGACATCATGTGAGTGAGCGATCCTTGAGTGGGTACCTGCTAGCTCCCTGCTTAGCTGTGAGGGGGCCCTTCACAGTGCTGCCTACTCCACTCAGCCAGTTATGGTGCAGGGAGCCATCAGCACTTTGGGATGAGAGACACCATTTCCTAAAGACGGAGTGCCACAAAGTAACAGACACAAGCCTGGCGTGTGTTTCATAGGCAAAGTCTTCTATGTAATTTAAAATACATCGTGTTTTAAATCACACAAGTCAGAAGGCTTTTTATTATGAAAGGCATCACAGTGTAGAGGGAACAGCATAAGCCCTGACGTGCCCATCATCAGGGTACCCACGTCTGGTCAGTGTCTGCAGCCCAGCACATAGGGGGAACTAGTGCTGGCGAGCTCCTATTACTGTCCATTTAGCGTTACTGGACTGTTGCCAAAACCCGAGTCCCACACCCCTACTTGCCTCCTTTCTTGGTGGGGCCTCTGGCACAGAGCTGTGGGAACCTGGGTGTGTGGAAGAGGGCGCTCCTATTGCCATCATCCCTTGTTCTCTCCTGGCTGCTTTGCGGTAGGGTGTGTTGGCAAGTGGGGAGCCCAACTTTGCATTCCTTCCTGTCTTCTCTCTGCAGCGCCCTGAGAGCTGTTGTCGCCCTCCTGCTCTGCGGGCAGCTGTTTGCCGTGGAGCTCAGCACTGAGGCCACCGCTATTGCAGGTGGGTATTTAGGAAGCTGTGCATCCCCAGCACGACTGCACTCCACTTTGGTCCTACCAGGTCCACACCCTGTTTTTAGGGAAGACCCAACCCTTGCTTTCAGTACCACAAACACCACTGGGGATATTGGCTCACCCTGTCCTGGGCTTACTCTTGAGCTGGGGGGAGGTGGATGTACATGCCGCTTCCCCTCCTCAGACTTTCCATGGGTCTCTGGAAGTACTTCTTGTTTCTTTTTCTTTACAGATGACGGCTGCCCAAAGGCCCCCGAGATCGAAAACGGCAATTTGGAACACTCAGTCCGCTATCAGTGTAATACATACTACAGACTACGCACTGAAGGAGATGGTAAGGCCTGGATGAGGGTCTCTGCCCACCCGCCATCTGCCCCATTCCATGAAGAATTAGGCCAACAGTGATTGGCCAGAAAGTTCACGTGTTCTCCTTGGAGCCAGGAGACTCAACGTCTAATAAGGGTCTTACCCCTAGTAGCTGTAGTCCATCAGACAAATTCATTTTTCACAGCCTCAAGTCTTTGCTTTTGTTAAGGGGATGCCATGCCACACCACCTATCTAGGCGTCCTACTAAAGACGACCTGGTCCAAAGGACGATGATCACAATGCTAGGCAACCCTTACCTAGTGAGGACTATGTTCCTGGCCCTGTCCAAGGGTTTTACATTCATTTGCTCACGTAGCCCTCATAGCAACCCTAGGGAGGGCAAGGGTTATGATTTTCATTTGGCTGATGAAACCGAGGCACTGAGGGGTTGAATACGTTGCCCAAGTTCAGGTAGCTAGTAAGAAGCAGGGAGATAATGGAGCCTGATCCCTATCCAGCACTGCTTTTCCATGACTGCAGGTCTAGCCTGCTGGGTGCCCTTAGAGCTTGGCTTCTAGTGTGAGGCTCTTCCCCATTCTCCTCCCCGCCCCCCACCCCCATCACCACCTTCTTCTCTTCCTTCTCCATATTTCCTCATTTTAAATATTTCTCTCCTCATGCTTGCTCCAGACCTGATTTCTCTTTTGGCTCATTATTTCCTTTCCCAGGCGTGTACACTCTAAACAGTGAGAAGCAGTGGGTGAATAGCGTCGTTGGAGAGACACTTCCTGAATGTGAAGCAGGTAGGATACCAGAGGCTCTGGAAGTGGAGCGGGGCTGGGAGTGGAGGGCTCAGCTGTGGACAGGCATCTACCTAGAAGTTCCAGAGCTGTACCCCTCCTCGGGGCACGTGAGAGCCAAGATGGGGCCTGTCAGAGAGCGGTTGAACCCTTGCACAGACTCTCCAGTAGAACTCACAGAGGATTTGGTCTAGAGGATCGTCTGGGGTTCACTGTGCACACCGGGGACAGGGAGGAACAGGGAGACCTTCAGGCACAGACAGCTGTCTGGGAAATCTCAGGTCAACGGTAAAGCAAGTCCCAGAGAAAAATCAAGGGAGGAGATACCAAATGCTGTTCCCTAGGAGAGGAGACAGGAGGTGGGAGGTGGTACTTATGGTTCTTGCTATGAAGAACCATGGTTCTGTCTCCCTTTTGAAACAAAAGGTTGTTCTCCCTCTTTTGTGTTGTCCGTGGTGTGGATCTGTCCACCTGCTTTCTATTCATTGCAGCCCCTTTAAGACCTGAGTATCTGCCAATGTTGGTATGCCTTTATTCAAAGCAAACCTGATGTTGGTATATAGTCCTCTTTATTCAGAGAATTGCCGCAGTTCCAAGACCTTTCAATGAACTAACTTCAAGGAATTGTGAGAATTCCTTTGTATGGTAAATTCTCTTGGTAGTTCATCTGCTGGGGTCTCAAAGATCTCCATGTTGTCACTTTTGTTAGTTGTAAAAGCACACTAGAACTCTTATGTTAGTAGGAAGCATCTGAGTATTTCCAAGCCAGGAAAAGTGAATAAGGGTAGTTTAGACAGTAACAGTGGTCAGTGATTTTACCCCTCTCCCCCAGATTGGAAGACAAAAGGTACAAAATACTTCACGATTTTTTTTGCTCTCCTTGACAGTATGTGGAAGGCCTAAGAATCCAGTGAATCAGGTGCAGAGGATCATTGGTGGATCACTGGATGCCAAAGGCAGCTTTCCCTGGCAGGCTAAGATGATCTCGCGCCACAATCTCATCACGGGGGCTACGCTGATCAGTGAAAAATGGCTGTTGACCACAGCAAAAAATCTCTTCCTGAATCATACAGCTGATGCACAACCAAAGGACATTGCACCCACTTTAAAACTCTACGTGGGGAAACATCAGCTTGTGGAGATTGAGAAAGTGGTTCTCCACCCTAACTACACCAGTGTAGACATTGGGCTCATCAAACTCAAACATAAGGTGCCAGTAAATGAGAGAGTCATGCCCATTTGCCTCCCTTCCAAGGACTATGCAGAAGTGGGACGTGTGGGTTATGTGTCTGGCTGGGGCCGGAATTCCATGTTTAACTTTACGACGCACCTGAAGTATGTCATGCTGCCCGTGGCTGACCAAGAAAAGTGTGTAAAGCACTATGAAGGCAGCGTAGTAGCGGAGAAGAAGGAACAAAAGAGTCCTGTCGGGGTGCAGCCCATACTGAATGAACACACCTTCTGTGCCGGCATGTCCAAGTTTGAGGAAGACACCTGCTACGGCGATGCTGGCAGCGCCTTCGTGGTCCAGGATGATGACACCTGGTATGCAGCCGGGATCCTGAGCTTTGATAAGAGCTGCGCTGTGGCTGAATATGGGGTGTACGTGAAGGTGCCCTCCATACTGGACTGGGTTCGGAAGACCATGGCTGAGAGCTAATGCCAGGCCACTGGAAGCCCTTGGCTGAGAGCAGGATTTCTCTCCGGGGGAGGGCAAACTGGATGGGAGGGGCAGGGAGGAAACCTGGCCTGAAGCTGTGGGAAGCCAGCTCTGCACTGCTGAGTCACTCAATAAACAGTGCTCTTTTGACTTGTTTCCCTGCCGTTTTCAGTCTGCAGCCTTTTTTCAGTCTTACTTTTACAGGCCTGGGGTAGTTAAGTAGAGCCTACTGGGATTATGCAGTATGCAGGGAAAAAAACCCAACCTGGAAAGACTGGAAAATCTAGATAGCCCTGAGATTAAGACGGTCCCACACTGGGTTTCAGGCTCACTGACTGACCATCGACTGAATGCCAGGGCTCAGTAAGATGTTATTTTCCTTGTTTTATACAAGGGCACAGAGACTCTGAGAAGCGAAGCATCCTGCTTATTATTACACAGGGAAGCTGAGCCTTGAACTAGCTGAATCTGAGTCCAAATATAAGCCCTGAGCGCTTTTCACTGTTGCCTTGTTGGCCCTCTGAAGTGAATGAAGCTGGTCGGGAAGGCACTAGCTCAGCGTGCATTGACAACCCAGTGTTTTGAGAGAGATGACACTACTGTTTGTGTTCCAAGCACCAGAAATCCAGAAGACGAGTAAGATGGGGTAAAACTTAGGGCCTCTGTACTTGCTGGGCCCAAATCCTATCCCAGCCACGAACAAGCTGAGTGCTTTCAGCTCCCTGGCCATTGGTCTCTGGACAATCTCTTAAGCCTCCACCAGCATCACATTCTGAGACTGCATTGAGAGTTAAGTCTCATCTTCAACGGGGGCTGCTTTTCTCACTTGGAGACAATTCACCCTTTACTAGGAGCCAATCAATGTAAGTTGTCTGAGTCTCTCATGTTATTGTTATTAGTATCTTCCTAAAGGACAGTTGATGGTCTTGTTACTAAGTATCTTCCTGAAGACAGTTCCAGAAATCTGGTACATAGGAAGCTCTCTGAACTGAACTCTTTCTTGTTCTAAATTTTCAGTACAGTGACTCTCCAATATATCTTACCAAAGTAGGTTTCTTCTCAGGGAGTGAAATGCTACCTAATGCCCTGGTACCCTTACCAAAGTCTGGCCTCCACTGTAAAGTTCTTTTCATATCTACCTCATGGTCGATTGATGGATTTCAACAGGCTAGAACTAATGGCCCAGTGACGGACACAGACCTCTGTGCTAGAAGGAATAAAAGAGAGCATATTCAGAAACTGAAAAAGCGTACCCTGGGGAGCACCAGAAAAATGAAATCAAATCAAACCAAGCACACACTTTCAGAATGCTGGCAGTGACGCCTTCTTCTCTTGGGAGCATGCTCAGCACTGAGGATGTGCCTGAGCTTCTTAGAGAGCAGCGTGATTGCAGGAAGCAGATCCGGTCACGAACAAGGGGGAAACAAGAAAACACTCGCCCCTCATTTAACTCCTCTTCCCTTTTTCCCTTGTGGTACCTTCTGCCCCTCACAGTCCCCACCTTTGACAGCACTGCCTGGGCACAGCTCTCGGAACGCTCCCTACTGTTTCCAGCCCCCAAGCTTTCTTTTCTCTGGGGCCTCTGATGAACTGCCCTCCCATATTCTGTTCCAGCACCTCCTACTCTTAAGCAGCCTTCCCCCTCCCCCTCCTTTCCATGAGTCATTTCTATTTATGTACCATCTAGCATAGAGCGAGGCTTTCGGCATGGACTTAACACAATGCTTATAGAGTAGGATGCAACGAAGGTAAGACCAGTACTCTAAACTGGGACATCAAGATTCCTAAAGCCTACAGAGGGAGAGGACACAGGATTTCACGCAGTCCAGTTCTGAGTATGGCTGGGATGTGAGCCTGTACCACACATCAAACACTGTGGGACTGAGTCTGTAGCAGAAAACCCGAGTCACAGTTTCTTAGGCAGTGAAGATATTTACACTACATTTTCAGAGTAGCAGTCTGTGGGGAGGTGGGTCTAGAGTTTGCTCAGCAGCCCCCCTCCTAGAGACCAGTGTTTTTAACTTCCTCCTCAGCAAGCTGAGTTTTCATCCTGGTGTTAGATACCTCCTGGTGGTGAGGTGGTTGACACAGTAAGTGAAAGGTTGGTGGAAGGGTGGGGCGAGGCAAGAGGGTTGTTGCTTTATTCCTGGAGTGACTTCTCCATCAGTGAAGGGCACAAAAACACCCAACAGCCTTCTTCTGTGCCCTGCTGGCCAGAACCAAGTGTGAACTCTTTGCTCTTGGCAAAGAGGGAAGGACTTGCTTTGACAATGGCTGTCAAGTTGGCTACAAGGTCTGGCCTCTTCACTGGGGCTCTAAGCTTATGCTCTCTCCCATGAAGTTAGTACAAGAGCCCATGAGTTCTGAGAGGAGCAGTAACTTGTCCAACTGTTGTGCCTGGAAGAACAAGTTCTTTTTTTTTTTTTTTTTAACAATTCTTTGTGGGGAACAGAAGGATTTCTCTTGTCTCCCCAAAATATATGCCAGATTTAGCTTGAGAATGACTGTTCACTAGACAGTCAGCGAAAGCAGGTCAGAGGTTATTCTCCCTAACATCAGCCATCTAGACTGTATAGTCTGACTCACCCTAAGTAGGGCCCACTCCCTTCTGATAAGGATAGTAGTTGTCTGTTTACTTGTAGGAGATACCAGAGAGGTCAAACCCGCCCAAGGATGACC